GTGGTGAGAGAGGGCATCCCTATCTTGTGCCAGTTTTCAAAGGGAATGCTTCCATTTTTTGCCCATCAGTATGATATTGGCTGTGGATTTGTCATAAATAGCTGTTTTTATTTTGAGATATGTCCCATCAATTCCTAGTTTATTGAGAGTTTGTAGCATGAAGGGCTGCATTTAACATTTTTAAGGTTCATGCATGTTGTGTTATGTATTCGTCTTTCTTTCCCTCCCTCCTCCCTTCCTTCTTTCGTTCCTCCCTCCCTCCCTTCTTTCCTTCCTTCCTTCCTCTTTTTTTTTTTTGTTTTGGAGTCTCGCTCTGTCACCCAGTCTGGAGTGCAGTAGTGCAATCTTGGTTTGCTGCAGCCTTTGCCTCCCAGGTTAAGGCAATTCTCCTGCCTCAGCCTCCCGAGTAGCTAGAGCTACAGGTGTGCACCACCATGCCTGGCTAATTTTTGTATTTTTAGTAGAGATAGGTTTTCACCATGTTGGCCAGGATGGTCTTCATCTCCTGACCACATGATCTGCCCTCCTCGGCCTCCCAGTGTTGGGATTACAGGCGTAAGCCAGCACGCTCAGCCAGTATTTCATTTTTTTTTAATGGCCAAATGATAGTCCATTAAATGGATATACCACATTTTGTTTATTCACTTATCAGTTGATGGACATTTGGGTTGTTTTAACTTTTTGTCTATTGTGAATAATATTGCTATGAAAATGCATGTAAGTTTTTGTGTGAATGTGTGTTTGCAGTTCTTTGGATGTAAACTCAGAAGTAGAATTGCTGGGTCATATGGTAACTTTATATTTAGCTTTTCTGAGGAACTGCCAAATTGTTTTCCAAAGTGGCTGCATCACTTTACAGTCCCATTCAGCAATATTTGAGGGTTCCAGTTTCTCCACATTCTGGCCAGCACTTCTTGTTGTCTGTCTTTTGTATTATAGCCATCCTACTGGGTGTGTGAAGAGGTATCTCATTGTGGTGTTGATGTGCATTTTTGTAATGACTAATTGTCTTAGTTATTTTGGTCTGCTATAATGAAATACTATAGATTGGGTGGTGTAAATAACAAACATTTGTTTACACGATTCTGGAGGCCAAAAGTCAGAAATCAGAGTGCCAGCATGGTTGGGTTATTGATGAGGACCCTCTTCCTAGTTATTTTCTCCCATGGTTTTTCTTTGGTGTGTGTATAAACAGAGAGAGCTCATGTTTCATCCTCTTTTTATAAGGGCATTAATTCCATCATGGGGAGGTACTGTCATGACCTCGTCTAAACCCAGTTACCTTCTAAAGGCCCCACCTCCAAATACCATAACATTGGGAGGCTGAGGCGGGCAGATCACAAAGTCAGGAGTTCGAGACCAGCCTGACCAACATTGTAAAACCCCGTCTCTACTAAAAATACAAAAATTAGCCA